TCACAATTGTAAGACTACCAGAGAGAGGGAGGGAGAGTCTGAGTTACCGTGTCATCGCTCAGAAAAATCTCTTTTTTAAGGGATTCTTACGCTCCAAATCCAAAGTCCGAATCCGAAATGCATTTCGTTTCGCCGCTTGACGCCAAAAATAAATAGCTACTGCTACTCAGCCCTCAGGCGAGCCGAATTCTATTTTCTTCCGCCTGTCAAAACTGTCCTCTCTATTATCTATGTCAGTGACCACCGACCATCAGAAACCAAACGATCTTCTATTGTAACTCCGATCACCGGAGAAATGGTTCCGGTGACCGGCGATTGTGAGTGATGGAGATCCTCTTAGATTTATCAGATTACAAAAAGGTCCTAATCACTCCGAGATTTATGGATCACTCCCAGGTGGAATCGGGGAAGAAGGTTATCCCATTTGTCATCCTACGATGGACTCTTGCAATCCTACTTCCCATTGTTCTCTTCTTGACGCTTTCCTTTATGGTTGGGATTATACTGATCTTAGGCTCGAATCTCTCGATCACGAACCCTATTTCTCTGCCTTTCCGGTGCAAGATCGTATCTAGCAGTAAGTTCTCTTCCTTGTTAAGCTGTTAAATATTTTGTTTAAGCTACATTTGATCCGAAAGTGGTTTCACAGCTTATAAGCGTGAAATCACAGCAACTGCGGCGTTTGACTTGACAATGACATTTCCAAATATTAAAATTCCAGAACCTATCTCAGGAAGCAGTTCAGCGACCTCTGCTTGAATTTCTTATTTTCACTTGGAAGACCTCTTGCATCAGTATGACAAATAGACCTGTCGCGCGCAAAACATCATTTTAGCATAACCTACCTAGAAAGAAACTCCACAGAAAAACAATGGAAGAAATGGGGATCATCAAAATTTCCGTGGTCGAATGGAGAAGGTGCTTATGATTGAAAAGCCAAATTTTGCGGTTCTCCACTGCAGCGTTTGAAGTTTGATCGCAAAGGCTTCTTTTGTGTGTGTGTGTGTGTGGGTAATTTGAGGTAAAAGTGTCAAGATTAAGGGCTCCTAATATCATGCCTAATTTTAAAATGCAAGATTGCGAAACGATGATCCATTGATACTGCAGTAGGAACATAGACAACTAGGTTTGAGCTAATAGATATCGTTAGTCGTATTTTCGGAGATTGATTGTTATATCATTTCCCATGGGACATAACATTGAGCCTTAAAAACTTCTATAATCCCATGCCCAGGGCACAATCCTTCACAGCGTGATCGGAACAGAGCTGTGGTTGTTTTTTTCATGGCTCGTAAATGAGCTCATCACTCGTGTTGTATCTGACATGTAATAATTTGTTACAAATGCCGTTAATTTATTTTAAATAAGGCTGCACAACATGATGACATGGATTTGCAGTATGTTTTCTTTATTGTCTCCTTCTTGTGTTATGCAATGATTGGTTTGATTTTGAATTTTCCATTCTGATCTTTGTTTATAAATAATATTCCTTTACTTTGAAGCTTTAAGCATTTTCCGAGCTGTTATTGCATAATTCACTTTTCTACTTGCTAACTAAATTGCTTCTTTTATTATTATTGTTTTGCAGGTATTGATATTAGGTCATCTAAGATATGTGAACTTGGATTGTTTAATTATAAAGCTGAGAATTTGTTCCATCCTTTTGAAAGAAACAAATTTCACTGTCGTTATGATTACTACTGGGCTTCAGTTTTCAAGGTTATTATATCTTGCCCATTACTTGTTTGCATCATTAGTATTCTTTCTGCATGTTTTGTGCCTTGTATTGTTGTCCCTGTTGATGCAGAAGCATAGAGTTTTCTCTTACTGTCCAAGTTATGTATCTCCATAACTAATCCATGCTACTTTCAATGGAAACTTTTGAAAATAGTACATGTGTGTGTACTTATACGCAGCCTTTCTCTGTTCTGTCCTCTAATAATTGTAAATTAGTGATAAACACAAAGCAGACAGTAAGTTCTTTTACTTAACCTTTCAGGTGGAATATAAAGATCACTTTTCCAGTCGGACACATGTTGCATTATCAGAGGCTCCAAATGAGGCTCTTCCCCTTTATTGCAGGCCTAATTTGGTGCTGCGTTGTTGACCCAAAATAAATTCAAGGTGAGGTTTACCACTAGTGGTCTCAACTCTCAACCAGTTTGTGTTTTTTGGGCTGGACTTTGTTAAATAATGTTTTTCTTGTTTATGAAATATATAATACCTAGCAGTTATATCTAGTCCAGGTCTTTGGCATTGGTTTATCCTTTTATCTTCTCTTCCTCTTTTGTTAGGTCAATGAGTCTTATGACTGCTGGTACACATCTGGCATTTCCAAAGTGCGTTTATACCAAGATGACCTTTTCAGTTGTCATGCAGATAAGCCATCTACTTTTGAGATGCTTGGACGGTATTTTATACTGTGAGCATTTTACTCTTCCTATCTTACTGAAATCTAGGCTTCTTAACACAACTAAATAAAATCATGAATCATTTAATGTAAGATGAAGTTACTGAGTGGCACCTGAGGGTTAAGCGTTCTTAACATTATTTATAGTTCTAATAAACTGTTAGTTGATTTGTTTTTTATGTAAATGCTTGAAGTCTTAAACAAGGTGGGCCACACCCAAAAAATCCAATAAGCTCCAAGTACCCAAAATGCCTTCTTAAATGGAAAATTAAATAATAAGATATACTTGGCAAAGACAGAGCTGATTTTTTTTTTTTTAAAATTTGGTTATAGAAATAGGATTAATCCACATGTGTTGCGTGAATTAATCCTAGGCGAATGACATATTAACATGTTGAAGGGCCAGCATCCTGTAAAAAAGCAAGTGCTGCTAAGCTTATGAAATTTGTGGTGGTAAAAAAAAAAGCTTATGAAATTTGTACTTAAAATATGGACTTGGATATCAATATAATTACGTCATTGAGTACTAAACTGTATATGTTTGATTAAAGTGTCATATAAGTTCAATATTCTTATTTTTTTGGTAGAAAGTTCAATATTTTATTCAATTATATCTTTAATTAGGACGATGGAGATGTTATACTCCTGGATTACCATGAGGGGAAGGTTCAGCTGCTGGAACTGGGAAACGATAGCTGGAGTGTTAACTGGGTTTTCAGGTTCTTTGATCTCCATGACGTTTTTAAGGTTCCTATATCTGCTACTCTCTGGACTATGTCGATTCTGCGCTACACGGATGTTTTGTTGGCCTGCTGGTATTGCTCACATAAGGCGAGCTTGTTTCCTTTTGGCTTACTGCTCTTTTGTGGCTTTTTTGGCTATTGAATACGCGAAGATGGTAGGCCTCATGGATTTTGTTAGAGTTCCTGCTTCTTGGCACTTATTTTCGTGAAGTGCCGTGTCTTTTTTTCTCCCCCATCGGGTGATGATATCATGGTTCTAGCATGTAATATTCTTGGCGCATGATAACTGAGGAGTGGCTCTACATGCCTCGTGTAAATATGGAGGAGATGCTTAAATAGGTGTTAAGACTTACCGGATTAAATCTGGAGTTAGTTGAAATCAGTGGGTGGACTTCAGGGGACGAGGGGGTTGAGTAGTTTACAAAATGGATTAGGTTTGTAATTTATGTGTCGGTATGTTGAAAAATCTAGTTTACAAAATAGAAATATGAAAGCTTCTCATTGAAAAATCTAGTTGAAATATGACATTATAGTTTGCAGAATTAATGCATGTGAGTAGTTTCTTTAAGTAATAGTCGCCACTCGCCAGTGCATTTAAATGTAGAATTTGGTTGGCAAAAATAAATAATAATAATAAATGTAGAATTTGTTTCCAGATAAAAGTTTCTAATTTATGCGTCGCATTTTTGCTTTAAGGGCGTTGGGTGGGCACATTGATACGAGTGAAGGGAAAGAGAAACGTCTGTACGGTCTTTGGATTAAAATGCGATAATTATGCGCGTCTATATAATTGAGTATAAAAATAAGTTAATAAATTTTGAACATTTATTTCCATACTCTTCTGCACTGTTTGGGAAGATTTTTCCGTTTGGGAAGTTATTTTTCATTAAAAAAAAGCCATTCCTCATTCAAATTTAAAAATAAGGGATTTATTAGTTTCGATTTTTTTCATAGAAAATATTTATTTTTAAGAATCTATTTTGTGAAGTTGTATATTATTTTTTGAAGCTTTTTAAAATGATTGGAATCCAAAAAAAAAAAAAGAGAGAGAGTAGGTTTCCGAATATTTTAAGAAGCCATATCGAACGGTTTCTGCCTTGCGTAGCTAGACAGGTAAAGATCGTCTGGCTCTTCGAGACGGGGAACAAAACTTTAACAAATTTCTAAAAATGATGTAATTCGGTAAATAAGAGAGAATGCCATAAAAACAGAGGAATACACTGAGATATTATAAAATTTTAAAATAACTAAATAATTATCACGATTATTATAACCAAACAAAATAATGTTATCTTTTTATAAAAATTTTAAACTACTAAAATAAACGGGTTCTAAATTCCAGTGTTTAAATTTTTATCCATTATACGAGAATGAAGAGGAAAAAAATCAAAGAAAATAAAATTTTGAAAAGAGAAATGTCAAATCATGCACGAGAGAGATGATGCATGATTCAAAGCACATACAAAATAGTAATTCCTAGTTCGCAAACACAGGCCAAATGAATCAGATTGAAATGTTTTTTTAGGATGTACGCCTACATACCTTGGGAGAAAAAAGATAGGGGAGAAAAAGCTCCACATTCTCACCTCAAACCTCCTTCATCCTAAATACACACGGTACTTTAGCCAAAATAATAAAAACACAAGGTCCTAGCCCACTAACAACAAATTTTTATTGCAATGAAGCAAAAACCAAGCTATTTTATCATCATAAATTTGCAATGCTACAACATGATAAATAATCAAGATAGTCAAAAACTTAAATAAGGGGTTCACTATTCTTAAAACAAATTTCTCCGAAGACAAGCCTGAGAAAAGTTAGCATCTTTTACTACCGCTTTCCATAGCCCAATGCTAGTAAATCTCCTCATCAGGGACATCAGGGTTCAAGAACTTCTCGGGTCTTTACTTATTTCTTCATAGTTCAGAGGCGACTTAACCCTTTCTGGTACAGGCATCAGAGGAATAATGCTATCCCTGTCAATTACCCCATCAATTATTCCATATTCAACTGCTTCAATTGGAGACATGTACCGATCCCTATCAATATCTTTCTGGACTTGTTCGAATGAGCGACCAGTGAAACCGGATATAATTCTTGTAACATTATTTTTGTTGTGCATAACCTCTCGAGCTTGAATTTCTACATCTATAGCTTGTCCGCTAGCACCTCCAAGAGGTTGATGAATCATAATCCGTGTGTTGGGCATAGCAAGACGCTTGCCTTTTGTGCCGCCACCGAGGATAATGGAAGCTGTTGATGCCGAAATGCCGAGTGCAACTGTGGAAACATCAGCCCTCACAAGTTGTAACACGTCATAGATGGCCATTGTCGCGCTGAATAGATTATCAAACTCAACTGTTACAAGGAAACTAGCCAAGGGCAAAGAAACGCAACAAGAAAAGAAACCAAGCAGACAAGCACCAATAAAAGAAAATGCTACTGGCCAGTGACCTTTCTAGCTGGCCTGGCGCCAGTATACTCTCAAGGGTTCAATTTCTACCCACACCATACCCAAAGAAGCATCAATGCTGATATGCTTATCAACTACAGCATGATACAATATGCTAGATATAGTAATTTCTACGATAACAATGGGGTACTATAATAAGTGTGCATGCACACAAACAACAAATTAATGCTAAAAAAATAACAAAAATCTTAAACAAGTATTCCAAATGTAAAATAAGATGTTCATATGAAGTTGCAAATAAAAATAAAGAGCAAATTAAAACTATATCTCTCAATTTA